AATAAGGTGAATGTGAAAAAAGATACCAATGTTTTAGCAGTAACAAACCTTGTTGGTAATGTGCAACATCCATCAGCCGTTAGTCGGACTTGTGTTTCATAGCTGTCTGGCGGGCATACAACCTGTTGAACTGGAGGGCACTCCACAGTACTGCAATCGACGCTGAAAACTTAAAGAGAACATAGGGGTTATGATGTGAAGCATACAGCAGGCAGTGCGACACTAAGGCCCCATTCACACTGAGCGACATGGAAATCGCGCGACATTGAGCGACGTGTCGCGCGACTTCTTCCTATTGGGCTGTATGCAATCGGGAGCAATATCGCTCAAAATCGCTCAAAAAAAGGGTCATGTAGGAGCGACAAGCTACCAGCGACGAGCTACAAGCGATATTGAGCGATATTGAGCGACGAGATGTGAACAGCTACATTGAAATGTATTGGTGAAGCTACATAGAGCAATATAGCGCGGAAATATGAGCGATATCGCTGCAAAAATCGCTCCATAAATCGCTCAATGTGAACGGGGCCTAAATGGTGACACTTGCTAAAAAAAATGCTCATCAAGTTCAACAAAAATATGACTATGAGAGATCAAAACAGCTTTATGTAATACCTCTGCATATGTTAGATCAATTTAGCGAAGTGTGAATTAACACAGCTAAACTAAATTCCAATACTGTGAGTAAAGAAATGATTGCCTCTTTATATATCTGTTCTTCAAAGCCATCAATTTAGGTTGGATTTACACACGTGTTGTGTTAACATTCATTTTAAATGTCTGCCCAACTCACATTCCCATGCACCTTCAATCAACACCTCTATGTTGCAGAACACCACAATGTATAGTAATGCACTACCATACATCGTGGTGTTCAGTGTTTGAGAAAAACTGTGCAGGTAAATGGAGGTGTTGGTGGAGGAAGAGCAGCTTCAAGTAGATCCAAAGATTTTGGTTCAGCAGAAGCCTTGCACAGTATAATGGCGAGGCAGAGGCAATGTTTTCTATATTTATTCACAAAGGATAACTCCAGCAAAAGTGTGATTTTTTTTAGTTTTGGATACAGGGAGTTAAATATCTCTCAGGTGTCTATTTCTGTCTTTCACACTTGGGGATTCTAACTCACCTCCTGTCTCTGTGACGCACAAAGCATGTGCACATGGGAAGTTAAGTTGTCACTGGGATGTTTTAACCATGCTTCACTTTACTAAAAATACAATTTTGTTGTTGCCTGTGTCCCTGAGATTCCTGAACACTTCTTTTCCTAAAAGACTAAAAAAAAAAAAAAAAAAACACTAAGCCTTATTCACCGCTTTATATTACTCCCATTCAAGTAATTTCTGAAAACAGGCTGGATGCAAACACATGTAATAGGATTCAGGCCTTGTGATAGGCCACTCAGGCACCACATTGCAGAAGGTAGAGGGGAGTGTAGCGTGTGTCCCATATCCAGAAGTACAGGATTTCTGATGCAGCTCCAGCAGTGTTGATTTAAAGCACATTAAGCAAGCAAAATATTATTATACTATAAGCGTTTGATTACAGCTAGTTAACCGCTCATTATTAGAGCTGCAGCTAACGATTATTTTCAAAATCGATTAGTTAGCCGATTATTAGGTTCAATTAATCGGTTAATCGGATAAACAATAAAATAAAGTTTAAAAAATGGCTCCAGTGATGGGACTACTAGTTTGTATTGAGGTTGTAGTCCATCACAGGAGCAAGCTTGAGCGGTGGAAGTAAAAAAGAAAAAAGATAGTGTGGTGTGCAATATAGTGAAATGGAAAGTGTAAAATTATACAGCAATGCATGCAGAATGGCACCGGCTGTAGAGGACTGCAAAAGCACATTATACAGCGCAATGCAGAATACCGCCAGCTATAGAGGAATACAACACATCCTAGCAATAGTACAATATAGCTGGCGGTATTCTGCATTGCGCTGCATAATGTACTATTGCTAGGTTTTGTAGTCCTGTATAGCTGGTGGTATTTAGCATTATACCACTTTATAACGTACTATTGCTGGGATTTGTTGTAGTCCTCTATAGCTGGTGGTATTCCGCATTGCGCTGTATAATGTACTATTGCTAGGTTTTGTAGTCCTGTATAGCTGGTGGTATTTAGCATTGTAACACTTTATAATGTATTATTGCTGGGATTTGTTGTACTCCTCTATAGCTGGTGGTATTCCGCATTGCACTGTATAATGTATTATTGCTGTGACTTGTAGTCCTCTGTACAGCGCAATACAGAATATCACCAGCTATAGAGGAGTACAACAAATCCCAGCAATACATTATACATACAGTGTATAATGTATTTGTGGGATTTGTATTCCTATGTATAATATACAGCACAATGTACCATCAGCTATAGAGAAATACAAATCCCAGCAACACCTGCTCCTCCTTACTACATCTCCCCGCGTCCCTTGCCGATCGTGGATGTGGATGGGCAGGAAATGTGACGCGGGGAGGAGGTGCGGCGTGTGGCGCGTGAATGCGAGCGGGTCTGGCAGCGGCAAGCGTGAGGTGGGGAGGAGGTGCGGCGCACAGCGTGCGGAGCTGTGAACAGGGCCAACTGATCGGAAGCCGATTAATCGATTATTGAAAAAGTTGACAACTTTTTCAATAATCGATTATAATCGATTATGTCGATTAGTTGTTGCAGCCCTACTCATTATCATTGTGTGTTTGATCCAAGGTAGTTGAATTTGGGTTACTTTTACAATTGAATGCCTTTAAAGTTGAGTGTTCTATAACTTCTAACTTGCAAATGATTTATTAGTATTAAATGCTTTACTTTTGCAAGCCATAAATAATACTAACAATAGATTTCTTTGAAACTCACATCTCATTTCTGGCTTGCAAAATATGACACATTTTCAATATAGAATGATAGATGCTTTGGAAAGGGATGTCAGAACGTTAGCTTATAAATGGTTTGGGATAACAATACTAAACCTTGTAGCCTTACAGGGTTGAATTCTCAACATTTTTCTTTACAGAGCACCTCTCTATCAATGACATATTAATCCTGATATGTTACATAGTATTTGAGGTTGAATAAAGACATAAGTCCATCAAGTCCAACCTATTGCGTGTATGCATATGTGTTACAACAAAATAAATAAAAAATTGTAGGTTGAAGATGAAAACACTGGATGACTAAATGATGCCAAATTTGGGGCATTTTACTCCTGAAGTGTTTTGTAATGACACATTTTTATTCTATACAAGGTCCACTTTAAGCTGTAATCCAAAGCTCCAAAAATGTATAAGAACGTCTCAAAGCGAGCAAAATTGTCTTTTTTTGGGGGGTAACAGTAGAGTATCAGCATGATACTACTTTTCTCTTAACTGTAGTTGTATGTATGGTTCATATTTTCAGTACAGGATGCAAGGTAGCTGCCATGTATTTTCACTGAGAAATACATACTTATTTATATGACTTTGTATAAGAAACCAGTGCTCAGTGATTTTGTTGATTCATTTGCCATTCACTGTGATATCACTCATAGCTGTGAATTAATGTGTTAGCAATCTACGCAAAGTTTTCCTCCACCTAGCTTACTTCTGAGCAGTTCAGATTTAAAACCACCACAACACCATATCTTAATAAATAAAATAAAAATCTGACAAATGCTGTCCTACTTTTTTTGTGTTTTAAACTCTTAGGATAGGTTTACACCACAGAGTCCCCATGTCAGCATATGATGTACAGTGCATGTGTTTTTGCATGTGCTATGTTACGATGTTGGCATGTATTATGGAACTTTTTCCTTATTTGTGTTTTTTTTGACACTTTTAATCTAATCTGTCACAACGTGCAGGCTACCTATTTTTTTATTATTATTATTTTTTTTTTAACAGTGCACACTAACACACTGCATTGAGTGAACAGTCACAATACAAAATAAAGCTTTCTTTCTCGTCCATTTGTTGATACTGTGTTGACCAACACAGCCCAACAAATGTGTTAACAAGCTTTTTCATGAGTTGCAGTCTATATATCTAATTGTAAATAAATAGATCCATATAAATAGAAAGTATTAAAAAAAAAGGGCTAGTAATGATTAAACATGTTTGTGTTCGATTAATCGAAATGTTTTTAATCGATTAATCAATTCATTTCAATTAATTATAACGCACATACAGATCCAACTACATTGGCCAATACACATACAGCACAGCAATGAAGTAATAAAATGAACTAGGATCACACTAATCCAGCACGTTATTAATCTCACGTGCCCCACTCAATATGGCCGCCACTTGGGGCAACTCAGAATAATAACGTGCTGGATTAGTGTGATCCTAGTTCATTGTATTACTTCATTGCTGTGCTGTATGTGTATAGGCCAATGCCTTGGCTGGCGCCCGTGCAGAAAGTTTCTTGGGCATACTCACTGGCCCAAGTGGCTCCGTCGGCTAATGAAGGGGGAGGAGTCCGGTGACGTCACAAACACCGTCACCTGGCTCCTCCCCCTTCCCTTCGTTAGCCGTCACGGACATCGACGTCACCGGACTCCTCCCCCTTCCCTTTGTTAGCCGACAGAGCCACTTGGGGAAGGGGCGAGTCCGGTGACGTCTTTGTCCGTGATGTCACCGGATCGCCGACGGGACTCCCGGAAGCCGGCGGAGAGGTGAGTGTTTTCATTAGCGATCAAATTAATTTTAAATCGATCAAAAAGTTTAAAGATTAATCGAGAAATTAATCTTTAATTTCCAAAGCCCTATTAAAAAACAATACATAGTAATTTGCTCAGCCAAATAAAAAGCTATGGCAGATATATGGGACCTGGTTTTAGTAGCAAGAAAAGAACCCTTTCCACTATGCACACACATTAAATACACATGAACATGCACTTAAAACCCCAACACATTTAAACATTTTTGTGAGAAGAAACCCTGCAGAATATAATTATGGTAGTTTTTCAGGCAATATTTGTTTTGTATGAAACATGATATTTGCACTACCACATCTATATTTTCAGCCCAGAAATTGTCATGTGGCTGTAAAACAGTGAAAAGTCATAGCACCCAAACTTGGACATAGTCAACATTTACAGGGTTATTCACAAAGCTGCCGAAGGCAGCCAAGTGAATAACCCACCCGAAGTGAAGTGAGCCGAACGCTGTCCGGCTATTCACTTCAGGCTTGTACA